CAATGATTATACTCGACGGGCAACCCACATGACGCATACGAAAAACAGAGGATGCCCAAGGATCTGTTATTAGAGAAGCATAGACTTATATACCATGTTCGTTCACTGTATTTTAAGTATTTCTAAGCTAGTATTTAACAAAGTGAGTCACTGGATATTGATTTACGCCACTGTGAGCAATTATATACCTTCAGATCGTTTAGATATTGATACCAGCAGCTTTGTAACAGAAGTAAAACTACATTATGACGTCACTTCATCATCATCGATTCCCATTCGGCTTAATGAAGTAATTAGTGAATATACTCACCTCCTAACCACTGTCATTGCAAATTTATTTTATTTTGTACATTTGCTTTTCTCGACCTAATGGTGATGGTACACAATAACAACAATTATTTATGCAAGTGAAGATAGTGAATGAGTTTAGTTTTACGCCGCACTCAGCAATATTCGAGCTATATGGCGGCAGTCTATAAATAATCGAGTCTGGACAAGACCATCAAATGATCAACAGCATGTACATCGATCTGCGCAATTGGGAACCGATGGCATGTGTCAAACAAGCCAGCGAGCCTGACCACCCTATCTCGTTTGTCGCCTCTGACGACAAGTATGGGTTACTGAAGATACATTCTAACCCAGACCTTCACGGGTCAGTGAAGATAGTAGCAATGACATTTACTTATTAGTTTCTGTGTCGTGTAATGACACTAGTGAGTGAGTTACTGACTGATGGAGTTGAAATTGGTTTACGCCGCATCACCAATATTGCCGCTATTTGCGAGAAATATCTTTTGGTATTATAATATATTTAGCATAATATTAAGAATGATTTTGAAAATAACCAAAATCTCACTCAAATATTACCTTCAATGGTAAAACCTGACTATTGAGATAAAATTCTTTGTTTTGTCATATAGTTTGATTTTTTTAAATATGCAAAACTAAATGGTTAAAAACCATCATGAAAACGCGGTTCTGATAAGCGCACAATTAACACATTCCAGCAAAAATGAACTTGATTGTTATTTGAGTATTGCAAGGGATACAGAAAGGTGCATCTTCACCCTTTAACAGACATGAATGTGTATAATAACAATGTCCAATGCCCTACCGCTGCAATACAACTTCATAACGGCGGGAAAGACCAGAATAGGTGCGACCTTCTATATATGGCTTGATGGCGTAGATTTTGGCCAATAATCGTTAAATGCTGGATTAGCAGTATTGTAGCCAAGTTTAGTTATATATTGTAATGCCTATTTAATTCGTCTGAAATTAAAACAGTTTATTTGTTTGAACATCCAAACTATCAATGGGTGAGGTCAAAATGACCCAAGACACAACAGATGACCCAGACCGTGAATGGCGTCAAGATATGATTACGAGCTTAGCCGTAAATGCAACAACCATAATCAAGATTTGACCTCATCAAACTTCTGTAGATATGCAGGGTTTCTTTATCCCTACCCAATTTAACATTTGACAAATAAACTGTTTCAAAAATGTAGTAATGTTAATTCCTAAAAACTTGAGTTTTAATATCAAGTATAAAAATATTTTTGATCAAAAGTAATTCCTAAAAACTTGGCTTCTTAATTGGTGTATTGTCAATGCTGATCTTTATGCAGTTTACATTTGTTGCAAAGATGGATACAGCGGTGTTTGATTTGTTAACACTTTAAACCGTTTTCTAAGGACAATTTATATTTTTTTAGACACAATTGTAATTGTCCTAATTCGGTATTCGTATTTGCATCATATGATACATTGAAATCAGCACCAAATATTTTCATTCAAAACTTCTGCAAGGCTGTTGATTTTTATGCTAAACAGTGTCACTGCCTTGTGGAACCCCCATTTCTTGATGATATATATCAGATAATGCGGAGGCCAGCCGAACATGGAAATTGACATGAGGAAAAATAACTATCTGCAAACGGAGAGGTTGCTTTGAGTATGTAGGAGAGTGATCACTGCCGCACAAATAGTCATGAACGGAAAATACCTATAAGAGTGTAGGGTGTAGAAGTCCAAAGCAGTGTATGTACCTGTAGCTGGATGGACATAGTTTATGCCTTCTTAATGATGGAAGTAACACCTATATTTATCAAGCAGGTCCTCGACGACATTTCCTTTATCATTGTGATCGCATGATCCCTATAATAGATTATGACTATTTAAATCTCAATTTAAAATGGTTCGAGTCTTTAATTTGGTCAATTACGTTCAATGAAAGTAATTGTTCCAAGGTGAATATATTCCATCCTTCTCAAAGGTGAACCGCTTAGAATCGACCTCTCCTTGTGCAAACAGGTTGCCAATTTGCCAGCTGGCATCCAAATTGCTAATATGTGGAACTAACGGGATATGGTGGTCAGGCCCGCTGACTTGGTTGACACATTTCATCGGTCCACTTGTGCAGATCGATGCTCATGCTGTCGATCACTTTATTGTCTGGTCTAGACTCGATTATTTACATACCGCCGCCATATAGCTAGAATGTTGCTGAGTGCGGCGTAAAACAAAACTCACTCACTCACGCTAATATGTGGTGTGTACAATATACCATGTAATCTCCATTTATTAGAAATTCGGTATTAAAGGAGTTTGTAACAATATGAAACTTTACATTGTAGTCTTTCACGTTATGGGTTATTCGTGTTGACACTCATTGTTTTGTGGATTTATATGTACATATGTACTTCTGATCTCGTGGAAGATATGTTGCAATTCGTTGCTTTTGTTCCAACCAGATGCTCTGTGGATGGTTATGAGCAAGAGCAGATACGTAGTTTTTACGTGTTCCCCTACTGAAATTTGGAGTATGTGCTGGAACATGTATTAACCTTTTAATGATGCCGCGTTCAAATTCATCTTTTGAGGTTTGAGGTATATTTGAATTGACCTTCCAGCATGGTACACGGTCCACAATGTGCACCTTATATGATATAATGAATACATAAAAGGAACAATTGTATAAAACATTTCATTTAACACAACTAAATGTTATCTTCATTGGTAATTGTGCAATCCCAGCATTTGTAAGAAAGGAATCAATGGCTGAAATCAAATGAGGCCAATGACTCACAGATATTATGCAATCTTGAGTGTACACATATTCAGACAATGGGAAAATGAGGTTACAAGTGTTTATCTACACTACACGTATGGTGTCCTACATATTACGAGCCTCAAAGTGAAAAACACCGTGCTGTACTGGTGCATTTGCTGTTTGTGTGTATGGTACTGGCCACCTAATGATATTTGGGTGAATCCATGTTCCGTGCACCTATTATTACTAAATTACTTTGTGAGTACTGAGCATCTTCCCCCTGGCGTGCAAACAATTGCGTCGAGAACTGAAGAGGTTTCATCGTAGAACGCCATTTACAGCTGATATTGAATCAAACACAGAAACGATCGAAGGCAATGCCCTCACGTCAAACAGTGAAGCTAAAGCATTATAAAGACGATAGTTATGAGTAAAGTTGGAGATAAGTTTCTGAACATGAAAGTTAAGAAGCGGTGAGTGAATATGTAACCCTACATAAAATGTAACCAGCTGCATGTAGATCGGTGACTGATCACCAGCTGTAACAGGTTGTTGCGACTAGAAAACGACATTTATCTCCCTGTGAGTCAGCCAACGTCGGTGGTAACTACTTGGTAGCAAAATGGTGACCCAACAGGAAATCTAACGAGGTGAAATAACCTGTATAAAATGTGAATTGGATCAACAAGTAATTTATACAAAGGTTACACCAAACCAAAGGGGATATTTTTGTTCATAAACTTGCATTGTAAGATTTTTCTAATTGTCTTGTCACAAAAATCTCATGATCTGATTATTGGCGGGAATTGGAAAGTGAATCTGTCGAGGACGGGTGAAGGGGTCTGGTTCTGACTTCGAAACGGGATCTCCTTGCTTGGCTACCTTGGTTTTTCGATTGTTTTGTTTATTTCTCAGTCACATTAAATAGGGATTTAGGATTTGGATTTCTGTTCTAAGGCTGTCAGTATTCCAGGTGGTTATGGCTATACTATTATGCAATATTCAAGAAGTGGTCCCTAAAACGTCGTTGCAAAGAAGAAAAGAAGTGGTTTCTTTAAATTTTAAACGTGTCATGTATTTAAAAGTAGACATGGAAAAATCAGAAAGAAAGAAAGTTGAACATACATCAAGGAAATCAGGCCAGAAGTGGTGGGTGTGCACAGCAATCTCATGCAGCGAATAGTGAACCACCCCGTCCATTATGACTGAGAGGGAGAAAATGCTCTTAATTACAACTAATCTCTTGGAAACCCACATGAAAATCGGAGGCCAAAGTCAAGTGACTCATTTTGAGAATCATCTAAATTCATCTGTTTACTTTACAGTAAGTGCATGTTGGACAACACTGTGTGAACTCTAAAGCGATTTTCAAAGACACTATAAACTTGTATCACATACGTTTCAACGAGTGTGCAGCACACCAGTCAATATGACTTAAAAGGCTCTCGATACTTATAATAAAGTGAGAAAGCCATTGCACCTTCATACGAAATCTCTGCCATGACAACAGAATGAAAGAGATTTCAAACTGAAAATATATATGGTGTTGATGTCAAAGATCGAAATAACTGATTCGTTACAATATATACTCTTCAAAAAAAGAAACTTGACATAGGCAAAAATTGAATTTTAGGAAAATATTTGACGTAAACCATTCCATGCTGAATCCCAACATGTAGGGAAATGGTTGCCGACGACAAAACGTTTGCAAAAAAAGAAACGTTGAACAAAAAACGTAACGTTACACTTACGTATGTGGTGAATCGCTAAAATGCACCATACATGAGGACCGCCTCCGTGGTGTAGTGGTTAGAGCGTCCGCCCGGAGAGCGGAAGGTCGCGGGTTCGATCCCCGACCACGTCATACCAAAAGACGTTAAAATATGGTATTTGTTGGTCCTTGTCTGGCGCTCGGCATTAATGGGTATAACAAGGACTGGGCCTCCTTTCACAAAGCAACCTTTACTAAGGTTAACCTTATCTCTAAGGTTGGCATTTAAGGTAACCTTAAAAAAAAGTTACGCCCGTTTCACGAAACAACCTTACGCCAACCTTATCTCTGACGGATTTTACGCCGCAACTTTAGCTAAGGTTGGAACTCTTCTGTGTTGAAGTAAGGGATTTTCCGTAGTTACGCCGCAGAGTGATCTCCCTTGCTCGCATCTGCAGACGACTTATTGCAGCCTTACATTACGTGATGTCACAGCAGTCTGGTGATAGTAATAACCCGAAGAAACGGGCGAGACAGACAAACTTCTCCCCGTATGAACTGTCCATCATTGCTGATGAAGTGAAGCTCAGGAGTCATGTCCTGTTTTCATTCTTCTCCAGCACCGTCACAAATCATTCGAAGATGAAGGAGTGGGATGCTATCGCATCTAAGTAGTTGCTCGCAGTGTTGTCTGTTGTAATGTCAGTTAATGTATCAATATATCATCCATATTAATGTTTAGCTTTATCTAAAGCATCACTGCGGATAAATTTAAAATAGCCTACAAATATTACCTTGCATACAAAACACAGATTTCATGATAGAATATCAGTGTCTAAAATATGTTATTTCAATAATTTTCAAGTTTTTCTTTGTTTCCAGGTTAAATGCAAATTCCACTGTCCCAAGGAGTAGCCTACAGGTCCGCAAAAAGTGGAATGATTACCGGTAGTAATTGTTTTTGGGGTTTTTGAAAATGTTCTGTAATGTTCATCAGTGTTCAATTAGGCTATATGCATTCATTAATTGCATGTAATTTTGTTATATTGTATACAGTTATTTCTATTATGGTATTATAATTGGTCATACTTACAGATTAATACATATTTTATCGATGAGTGTCCGCTTTATGCAAAATGGTATTTCCAAGAATTGGGGGGGATGCCCTCCAGAATCCCACAGCGAAGTGGAACACAAGGTATTATACTGAAGTGATTATTATTGAAATAGTACCATCAATAATAATGTTTATCTGCAGTAATAAGCTTGATAATTTAATATAATGATACTTTTTGTTTTCAAATCAATTAAATATGCTGTTCATTGTTATAAATTATTCTACGAAAAATGATATTATGTCCAGTAGGTATACATTTGTATCTATGCATTTCAGGTAGTGGCCATGATACCTTCATGCCAATTTGAAGGTATATCTGGGGGATAAGACACAGAGGAAATCATTGAAGGTAATGTGTATCTCAGTAACATTAATATATATTGTAATATAATGATTGCAGAGCTACAGATAACTATTTGGTCATTGAGTTATGTACTCGCTTGTGTTCATCTCAATTTGGTGTCATAATTTTCCTTTGAGTAACCATATACATTGTACCCACCTCGCTCAAACTCAATTGGGTATTTTGCCATGTTTCAATTAATTGTTGAAATATGATAGAATTGAAGTCTTGATTTACATGTTTGGTATTCATATGAGATATTAACATATCCTCTTTTATCCCATAATGCAGTACTTACAATAAAGTGTTTTTGCAGAACATTTTGCCAAAGAGATACTGTAATGATTTTATTGAATATATATATGACTTAATTTCAGTTCGCACAAGCTCCACATGTGAAGAAGAACCCCTAGTGGAGACACCAAAAATTACAGCCAATCTGCCAGTTTCTACGGCTTCATTCACCCATGCACTAGACAACACTACCTCCACCTCAAATTCATGTACAGTTACCTCACCTGCTACCCTCACCACTGATGACAGCATTGTCATATTGACAAGTGCTGACAGGTCTTTACCCAGATCAAGAAAACCACATGGTATTTGAAATTTGACATGTCCATCAAACCTGTGTATTGACATGTGTATTGTCACACCTCCAGTAGAAATGAAGCATTTTCCAAGACAGACACTGGAAGTAGTATATACAATTGGGGTTTTGGACCAAGTCCAACAAAAGCCTCTGCAAAGCCTTATTTCCCAAATAAGGCTTTGGTCGGACCCTTAGCTCTTGCTACCATTACCCCTACTATAAAAAAGTTTGAGACGCTAGCGGGATACGAAGTCCACATGTATACCCCACAACCGCGCCACTTAACCGACTGAGCTACCGGGGACTTGGCTGAAGTATGTTGGTTTAACGGGTCTATCCTGGGGCACTATGCCACGTTGACCTCGATGAAACAGTTTAATGTGAATCGCCTATGATCTCTTTGGTGTTTGTAATAAAGGCTTGCTGGGCTTTTTTCACCCCTTGTTCTATGTACTTTTTTTTCTCGTCCTCGCTGATAGCAGACTTACGAGACTTTGAACGAATCTCTTGTTTCATTTTGTTATATTTTGTGAGTTCAGAGAGGATTGAACGAAACTCCTCCTCTGAGATCTTACTGTCAGTGAGTGCCGTGGATATACGCTCACTTACCGTGTTCAGCTTTGCTTCGGCCAGAACCCTGATCTCGTCGTGTTTCAATGCCTTACGATGCAGTCTGCGTGATGCAAACTTAAGCGCCAACCCTAACACCCCTGCCACCCCAGCTGTTATTTCAATGCCTAGCACTATGGGGGTAGCCACGATGGTAGCTAACAACCCAACACCTGCCGCCCCCAGCCCCATGCTGGTTGTCATAAGGGCAGTATCAACACCGTCCACGATATTGAAAGCTCTATGGTACTTCTTACATAGTGCTTTCCGCGTGTCGTGGTCTTGTTCTAGTTGGCGTTTCACATCACATAACTGCCTCAAACGGAACCCGTCTACGGTTTCCAGGGTCTTCGCTACTTCCTCTACGACTGGGTATAGCCCCATCCTATAATATATATTACAAAAGATATTTTAATTGGGTTTCAGTTAATAGTCGGTCAACGTACCTGAGGCTTATAAAACTTAGATTCTCGTATGTGTAGATACGGGAAGGGTCAATAGGTAACTTCTGGTCTATATCAACACCATAGCCATTTACTATGGGGGGTAGTAATCCCTGTTGGGAGTCCCCCAATCGTATAACGATACGGCAATATACGAAATCTGATGCGTAGGAGTCACCCCAACGTATTGTTACACCGGGTAAAAGTTGCAAGTTTGGGGGTGGGTCAACACCGTCCGAATCATCAAACTTACCATTGTGAGCGACTTCTACGATGAGTGTGGATTCTGGGGCCATACCCCTAACCCCTGCTATGGTATCATGGTGGGTGGCTTTTAACTGGGACTGCTTGGATGAAATTAACAGGGTGTCCCTAAGCAAATATTCGGAGTTAGAAACTATCATACTTTCAGTTGGAATGAAAGACGTGATCAAGGTACCGTTGTTCCTAATTTCAGAGACATAGCCATATTTGTCTAGTGAGATAAAAGGTGCGGTGATGGTCACGTTGATCACCCATTTGGGCTCTTTAAAATCTGATAACGACATCCGCCTATACACGTTGTCTTTCAAGTGCAGGATGTATAAGGTGTCTTCCTCACCAGGCTGATCGAATCCCTCCGTGTCCCCTAGGTCATTAAGCGTAGTGTTGGGACGATGACTGGTCATTGCTATAATACTACTACGATATAGTTTCCAACTGGTTTTCTGATAATAGTTCAGGGGTGAACTTCACCCCCATGAAGTGTATGTTGTCAGGTAGGAAGATCTTGGTTAGTGATATCGTGTTTTCCACGATCACGGTGACACCCTGCAGACTGGTGTTGGAGCCGACACCCACCCGCACGTAAACTGTGCAAACGTGATACTGGTGTCGTTTCACCCACCCGAGTTTGACCCCCTTCACGATCTCGACCTCATTCCCCGATGGTTCCCCCTAGGTAGACTTTGATGATCAGTGTTGAGTTCGCCGGTAGACTCTCCAGGATGGTGACCACGCCTTCGAATTCAGACACCAACTGCAATGTCACGTTTTGCATGCCCGGTTTACTCGATAGCATATGGGCTGCCATACTGGCGACTGGGCTGATGGCTACACTACGTCTCTGAGTCGGGACGTAAGCCACGAGCAGGGTTCCGTTGTTAACGACTTTGTTTAGGTGGTTGTCTTTGTTATCCGTGAACACGTAGGGGGAGCCGAGCCTAATATTGAGAAACCAGTCGTCTTTATCTGGTAACAACACCCACTTGTCATCTTCGGTGAAGACGAGCGTATATGGCTTGTTTCGGGCGACGGTAGTGCTCTCAACATCGTCTAAGTCGAACAGTTTGCCCCCGAACGATGGGTATATTATCCATTTATCATCCCCGGTGGTGACTAGGGTGTACCGAGTGTTGACTGTCGCTCTTGTGGTATCTACTATATCACCTAGGGCTCCACCGGAGGGGACTTCAACGCGTTTGTAAATGTTGTTTTTCAGTTGTAAGGCGTACAATTTACCATCTACTCCGGGAGCGTCGAATCCGCGTGTGTCCCCGAGGTCGGAGATCCCCACATTGACGCATTTTTTCACCCCCGGGCCCTTGTGCGCTGGTCATTTTATGTGAAGCGTTAAGCTGAGGTATCCTATATTGACGGGATTATGATTTATATCTAACACCGATATTATCAGCTCAGGGATGTTGCCCTGAGTCAACCTCTTATACTGCCGCGGTGAAAACGACTCGGTTCTACCGTCGTTGTATTTCTCCGTTTTAACCGGCACTGCTCTCAGTATAGTGGAAGGGTGACCCCCTTGAATGTTGTACGTTGTGCTCACCTGACCGAGATGAATGTACAGCTCACGGTACGGTACTAGGTCGGGTAACTTCATGCCTGTGACGGTAGTTGTTGGTTTTATCTCGTCAGGTGACATACCGAGTGTCCTCGCCAATGGCTGGCCGAGTCTCAAGGAGTTTCTTCCGTTGTTGATTAACACCACTGTACCGTTTGAGTCGTTCATCTTGAGTTCGGCTCCCAGGGGTTTGAAGACCTCGTCGCTTAGCCAGCACACGCTGTAGTAGCCGTCAGTTATCTGGCTGCGAGCTCCACTGACGAACAGCTTATTGTTGCTGGCGTTGATGTTAGTCCATTGCGGTAGGTAGGTGATATCGCAGAGTGCGACTTCGAGTTGACCCGACGTATTATCGATCGCGTGCGTCAGTTGAACAGCCTCGCCGCTCGTTATTCCTGGAAGTGTTATGTACATGTTAGAGTATATATGCTCATTATATAATAGTTTTAAAATGTATTCCCTAGGAGTGTTTTACCCTAAACTGGACGTAGATTTCTCACCCATGAAGATCGCGGTCGCTGATGGGATGTATTTCAACGCCCAGCTTTTAGATGTGTTCAGCCTGTATAAATTTTCGGTGACTAACGCTAAGGTAGTTCATGCTTGGTTCAACAACCCGATGCAGTTCTGGCAGAATCAACTCAACTTCGCCGTGTGGTGCGCTACAACAGGGGTGTGGTGTAACATTAACCGACACTCGGCGTGGACCGCTGAGTCAGTCTGTGTTCACGTTCCACGTGTACTACCAGGTCAGGCGTATCCTTAAAGAAATCAGCCCGTCCCACAGGACAACGCATGGAACGCAGTAAACAACAAGTACGAAAGGCGGGCCTACGAACGTATTTGCAACGAATTCGAACTAAACACGAAGACGGATTGGCGTTTGCCGGGACCGAACCACGGGTTGGGTATCCCCATCATTCACAACATGCACCTCGTGGATGCCAGCGAGAAGTTGAAAGAATGGGGATACAAGTCGTATCATCACGTCACAACGAACGAGTGGGATGACCGTTACATGGCTTTCGACAACAGTAAGGATTACCGAGTCTGGAGGTTCGAGCAGGGGGCAGCGGATGACTGGAAAAAGTTCATGCTGGACACGTCGAAAGGATTCACTCGTGCCGGGTTAAACAGGTAAAACGACTCGATTCGAACGTACGTGTGGGCGCTGTTGGGTGCGCAGACGCAAACGCGTTCCAACATCCTCGGTAAGGGGACTGCTTACGACGCTCAGAAACAGTTCGTTGTCAACGTTGAGGATGCTATCAATGCTCCAGTTGATCTCCCGAGTGCCATCAAACGCTACCAAGACATGTTGGAATATGCCAGGTCGAAAGTCGACTACGTGTTCGACGTGGGGTTGTACATTGCTCCGAGCGATATGCAACTGAGAGTAAAAAAAGTGGTGGGCCACAACAACGAAATAGTCATAGCCACGGCGGGCCAAAAGTTGGGCGTCAACCCCGATGTTAACATCCCCCACGTCCCACCACGTGAAACGGGTATAGTCACCCCACCCCCGGAGCCTAGGGTTCAACATACACCCCCTGTGGGGTCACCCCCACACACACAGCAGCACATCGACCGTAAAACAGCCCTGGTGGTTGGTGGGGTAGCTTTGGGGCTCATTTGGTTAAAAATTTCTTAGCCGCTACGCACACCAAACCCACCATGGCGACAATGGCTGCCCATAGGTTTTGACTGAGCCACGTGGCAGTTTTAGCCAGAGCGCCCAGCAGCCACGAGACGATGCTACCCAGGATGCCGGGCAGGGCTTCGGCGGCCTTACCAGCCAGTTTAGCCAGGGCCTCCCCGAGTTTTTTTATCCAGGCTTTGAAGCCCCCACCACTTGGTTTACCAGCAGGCGTGGGGGTACCCCCGCCGCCGGCAGGCGTTAATGACACGACCAGGGTTGATATGATGAAGCCCAATGCAGTCAGAATGCTGGCGATGGTGATGCCTTGCTCTCGGAAGAGGATCCGAATCCTGTTAGCTAGCGTGGTGT